GAGAAGACGGAGAAATTGAATATAGCCTACCAGAGTGGAACAAGACCATACCAAGATCCTCATCTGTCCTACTGCGCCTCTTGTTAAGCTCTTGTCCTTGGATGAATGACGGTTACCGCGGGACGTCCTCCGCAGCCAACGCTGCAGTCCGGTCCCACGTATATGAAGAAGTAATAGCCGTCCCGCTGCTACGAGCTTGAGAACTTTGTCATCTCTTTTTTTCCTTTTTCTCCCCTTAGACCAGTCAGCATAGAACACACTTGAAGAGATTAGACATACCGCAGCTCATCATGTCGCAATCATACTTTCCAAAGGATTTCCTTTGGGGGTTTGCAACAGCGAGGTTCGTTTAGCCAGGCCTTTCTCCACTCAAAAGTACCCCGCCAACAAGGAAGGGCCACTTGATTGTCACATGCTGAGTTTTGGAATCTGCAGTTACCAAATCGAAGGCGCACCGCATGAAGACGGTCGTGCCGATTCCATCTGGGACTCGTTTTGCCGCATCCCGGGCAAGATTGCTGGAGGAGATTCGGGCGATGTGGCCTGTGATTCCTACCACCGTGCTGACGAGGACATTGCACTGTTGAAGGAACTTGGCGCAAAGTCTTACCGCTTTTCCCTCTCATGGTCCCGCATCATTCCGCTCGGTGGACGCAATGACCCGGTAAACGAAAAGGGTCTGCAATACTACATCAAGCTGGTCGATGGGCTCCGTGCTGCCGGCATCGAGCCCATGATAACCCTGTTTCATTGGGATTTGCCCGATGAGCTACACAAGCGATATGGGGGCATGCTAAACAAGGACGAATTCGTCAAGGACTATGAGAACTATGCCAGGGTGTGTTTCAAAGCATTTGGGTCAAAAGTGAAATATTGGATTACCTTCAACGAGCCATGGTGCAGCTCGGTACTTGGCTATGGCACTGGGCTGTTTGCTCCCGGTCGTTGCAGCGATCGAACCAAGAGCGCTGAAGGAGACAGCGCGAGGGAGCCATGGATCGTCGGACACTCCCTCCTCATTGCTCATGGTGCGGCAGTCAAGGCCTACCGTGACGACTTTAAGGCGCAGGATGGAGGCCAGATTGGGATTACTCTGAATGGTAAGCGATCACCTCGCGTCCAGATTCTATGTGGACAGAAACAGAAACTCTACTCGCGTGCACGCACGCAGTCCGCGCATGCATGTACGCGGTAGTGGGGAAATCATGTCAGAATGGGTCTTGAGAGACGCCGCATGAATATATTGGTATGCTGATACATGTCCGTATAGGGGATTGGACGGAGCCGTGGGATTCCGAAGATCCAAAGGACCGCGAAGCGTGCGACCGGAAGATTGAATTTGCCATTTGCTGGTTTGGAGACCCAGTCTACTTTGGCAAGTACCCAGACTCGATGCGTAAGCAATTGGGCGATCGACTGCCTGAATTCACGCCGGAGGAAGCGGCCCTGGTCAAAGGAAGCAACGATTTCTATGGCATGAATCATTACTGTGCCCATTATATTAGGCACCGGGATACTGAGCCGGAGCTGGATGACCACGTCGGAAACCTTGATATTCTGCATCAGAATAAGAAAGGCGAATGGATTGGCCCAGAGACACAATCCGTGTGGCTACGGCCAATGCCGTTGGGCTTCAGGAAACTGATCAAGTGGCTTAGTGACCGATACGAAGGCCCAACATTCTATGTGACAGAAAACGGCACCAGTCTCAAGGGCGAGAATGATCTGCCTCTGGAGCAGCTGCTCGACGATGAGTTTCGGTGTGAATACTTTAGGGGTTATATTGGTGCGTTGGCCGATGCCCATACCTTGGATGGGGTAGATGTCAGGGGTTACTCTGCATGGAGTCTGATGGAGTACGTTGATCCACTTATTCATACCCCCCCTTCCTTCTTGTTTCTTTTTGCTGCGCGTATACTATTCCTACACCTGGACGACCCGCTTTTCGACGGGGGTATGGGCTGCAAGCGGATGACCGGAGGAGCTCTGGCAGACGGAACCTTTTCTCCTAGCTTCAAACTGAACCAAACCTGGTGTTCGGCGAGCTGGAAGCAATAAGATTACAAGTATGTATGCTGACATGAGTTTTTTTGTAGCAATTTCGAGTGGGCCGAGGGCTATACGACGCGTTTCGGCGTGACCTATGTCGACTACAAGGGAGGACAGAAGCGATACCCTAAGAAGAGTGCGCGCGAGATCTCGAAAATCTTTGACAAGTACATCAAAAAGGAGTAGTAGGCGGCGGCGGCAGTGGCGTGCTTCAGTGTGGTCGGCTAGAAACGCCATCGAATCATATACTAGAAGCTGAAGTGCATTAGGCGCTTCTAGCACGTTTCTAGCGTTAGAGGTGTTTGTTTTTTGTTTTTTTCTCACTTTGCCATGGCAGATATGGACTGATTTCCCAGTGGCTTTTTGCCTTATCCACATTGATACCACGTGCGGCGAGCTGAAAGACGCGCTGATTTTTTTCTACTCCGTGAAGCCCTATGGAGCCCCGTGTGGATACAAGTGTTGCTCTCAACGTCATTTAGACCCGGAGCATGGCGCCATGTTAGGGTAGTGTTAGTAGCGGTTCTCCCGTTGATTATGGTGCGGTGTGGTCGCAATGTTGAATCCGACGTTGAGCAAACACCTGGTTGACTGCAGCCCAAGTGATACTGGGCCAGTAATGGAAAGGACAGATGCAGGCAGCTGAAAGGGTGGAAGGCAAGCGAATGTGTACTACACCCAGACGTGCATGGCTAGGTATGCCCCTGCCCTCTCACACCCCTTGATGCAGGGTTTGAGACGCCACCAGGGACAGAATCAGTGTGTGAGTACAACGTACCCCGCAATTACGTCGGTGATGCATGATGTTTATTGTTGATTCAAGTGCAGAGTGCTGACAAGACATGGGGTGCAGCTGGGGGGGGGGGCAGAGGTGGGCAGGTGGATGTCTCGTGTGTGTGTGTGGACAGGGCTGTGTGGGTGGTGGAAGGGTGCGGGAGTGGGAGGGAGGGGAATGAGCGGTGGGCGGTGGGCATTGAAAGCGAAAGAGAAATCTAATTGCCAGACGGGCGGCGGACTCTTGCGCTGCAGAGGAACCATGGTTGCGCCATTGTAGAGTAACCTTCTAGCCTGCAAGCTAGAAGGTTCGGAGAGAGCTGATGGCGCAAGCTTTGTGTCTTGGCGTGAGGTGTCGGTAAGCGTGATCGGTAAGGGAAGGAGCGGAGGGACGGCATTAGCGAGGGGGAGAGAGGGGCAGCGGGCGGAGGGCGGCGGGCGGAGGGCAGTCAGTGGATGGGAAGGAACCAGCCAACCAGCACCAACACCAGCACCAGCATTAGCAGCGGTGCAGCGGTGCAGCGATGCAGCGGTGGGAGAGGCCACAGGTGGGACACATGCACACACACACACACACACACGCACCACCACTACCACCACCACCACCAACTCCGTCGTCGGGCACGCCAGGATGCCAGGATGCCAGGATGCGGGCCCCGCAGAAGTCTAAATTCTACAAGCCTGTTTCAGAGAGGGAGAGCCTCGTGGGCGACCCCCAAGTCAGGGCCACTAGACACTGCAAGGCCGCCATAGCCCGTGAATTGAGTTCGTGTCTAGCAGCCGTCGTTCTTGCGTAGTACGTAGTGGGCGTCTGCACCTGGCTCCTGGCTCCTGGCTCCTGGCTGAAAATCGGCTCAACTCCGGCATCGGGGCGGAACCAGGCGTCCAGAGTTTGGTAGCGAGACTTGGGGCGGCGCGAGGGGGGACAAGTTGACCCTTTTGGGGTGTTCGGCGGCGTGCATTACACTTTTGGATCGACAGACCATGTTTACATTCCCATTCTGCAACCAAGCTGAGCGCGCTGGTCCGCCCAGGCAATGCAAGTCTGGTTGCGCAATCGCCGACGGGACAGTGTGTCGTACCTCGCATTGGACATGGATGGCTGGACTTGACCCTGCCATGTAAGTAATACTACGCAGCCATGTATTTTACCTCCTTACGTACTTGGTTGCGTATCGAATGTTAATGTATGTAAGACGGGACTTGGACCTACCACCATCCACAGCCCGCCCATCTGCCTGCCTGCCTTGGAGGCGTCGCGGTGATGTGCCGCCATCACACGTCCCGACAGTTAGTATAGTCGTGGGTTCCTGGCCCAGTCGCAGCAGCTAGAGGCGACCGGAGGCAACCAGACGGGCGAGCGAGGGTGAGATGATGGGTAGTAGTCGTACCAAACTACTCCCATAGATCTGCCGCGCCGGGCCACGGGAGCCTGCACGGATGTGTGTGTATGTAATAATTACCCTACCCGTACATGCATTCTTACGTCTAGCATGCATATACAGACAGACGACCCCCTCTGCCACAACGGGGGCTGCTCCAACTGCAAAGTGGGCGTGACCCAATCATGGGACTGACTGATAGCTGACTGATTGATTGATTGCCCGGCTGGCGGTTTGACGACTGACTGGTGGGCTCCCCTTGGCCTGCCGTGGCTGCCGTCGTGATGCACGTTCGGGCAGTTGGAGGTGGTTTCAGCGACAGCTTCGGTGTCAACGGCAGTGGGCGTGGCTTCTCCGCGGCGCGCACCAAGGGCCCTGCATCTGTTCTGGGTAAGGAAAAATGGTTCCATATTGCATGATTCCTGCCGCCACGGCGTATTGACGCACTAAACGCAACAGAGGCGAAAACAGCAATCGAACGGCGAGCATGAGCAGAGGCAATGAGGCTAACTGCGGTGACTGCCGGGCAAACGTGCACGCTCCACGCCCTACTACCCTCTACGCCGCCGCCGCCGTCGCCGCTGCTGCTGCTAGGCAAATTGCAAATGAAGGGCTTTGCTCGACAAAACAAGACGTTCCCGTCTCAGATAGAAGGCAATGGTCCTCTTGGTGTCAAATAACGCTCCTACTAGGCTCAATTAGATGGCAGCTGCAGCTTGGTGCGGCGCTGTCCCTTCCCTTTCTTGCCCCCCACTCTCGCCCCTCCACACTACCCGCCCGTCGGCCTATCCACGCATGCGCACATACTCACTACACACACAAACACGCGCATTGCACGCACATCCAACATCCACAAGCCACACACATGTGCATCTTGCCAACACCACGCGCTGCTGCGCTCATATCCATCATACCGTCGCTGCGCGCCTCGTCGCGTGCCCCGCCGGCCAATTCTCTGCTCGCGGCTCGCGGCTGGCGGCTTCTAAGCCTAGCGCAGCCGACGTGCATCATCATTTTCCATCACTCGAGAAACTTACCGACAGTCGCTATCGTCCAATATCGGCGCCAAGCTCATCTCGAGTGGCTGGGACAGATGTCCAGGTACCAGCGCTAGCCGTCCCCATCTGGTTACTAGCCACATAGCCTCACCCTGTGCAGCTGTGTCGTCTATAGAGCGGTGAGGGGCGTCTCGGAGGATTCTTGCTTTATCGAATAACGGGGGGGAGGCCATGGATAGCGCACTGCTTTGGCTATCGTTGAGGTGCCCTCACTGCACATCACTGTGTGCGCTGCCCTAAAATGACGGCATAAGCTTGGGCGGATCATCACTGGATTGGTACTCGTGACCTGAGCAAGAATCCCTGTTGCGGTGAAGGATAAAAGTAGGGAAAAACAAAAGAGCGAGAGTGAGAAAAAAAGAGGGACGGTCAAGCATCAGCCACAAGTCTTCCGAACATGGCCACTTTAACCATGTCGACATACAAGGGCCCTGACGAGGAGCGCATCACGGACGCTGTCCGCCTCCATCCCTCTCGCTGCATCTGTGTATCCCTCTCCGTCTTGTTCTACTAGGGCCCATGCGTCTCCCTACATAGAGCCCCGGCATTGAAAGCCCTGCGAATGACTGACGGATCCGTCACGAAATCGTCCCACCCTGCAGCACACCCGATTTAGACAGAGCAGCTGTTTAGCAGTCATCATGCATGGCCAGCACACGGCATGAAACACAGCTGGATGGCGATGAGGCCACGATAAAGTTTGCGAGTGGAGGGGGTGGGAGTGAGGGGGGAAGGAAGACGCACGCCCCCCCC